CCCCCCCCCGGGCGTGGAACTGACACGGGGTTGCTCGGGGGAGCTACTGGGTCTGATGGTGGCACCGGTAAAAAGTTCCCGGGGGGGGGTGGGGGGCTGCCAGTCTCGTGTTCGTCTTGGATCGTGCGTGGCAGTGTCCGTCCCTGCCCCGGGATCGGGGGGGGAAACACGGAGAGGGGAAGGGAGATGGTGAGGTGCTGTCAGTGCTTCCCGGAGCCCACTCGGGACCTGCCCCGGGCCACGGCCACGCTCTGGTCTTTCCTTACTGAAGCGCTAAACCCAGCTTTACAGGCGAAAGGCGTGGGACCCGGCTGGCCGCCGCCTGTTGCAAGAAGAGGGGCTTCCAACCTGCGTTCGGCCCCGCAGACCCTTCCGCCCTGCCCGGCCGAGGGGTCCCAGGCCGCAGGGGCTGCTGCGTCCCGGCCCTCCGCACGCCTCGAGGTGCGAAGACCGGCCACGGCGCGAAGATCGGCCACGGGTGCACGCGTGGCTGTGGCCGCCCGCCTCCCCGCCGAACCTTGTGCATGGGCGAGGAGGGGGTTTCGTGGCCTCTCGAGGGTCCCCCGAGCGCAGACGGAGCTCTGCCGAGCTGCCCCTCCTTCCTCCTGTCCGGTTACCTCCACACAATGGACGCAGTGTGTGCCTGCGGCTTTCCTCTGCAAGAATTACAGTTGCATGGGCAGGCACTTTATCCTTTCTGATCTATCCTCTTCTCCCCCCCCCCTTCCCCTGAGGGTTTGTTTTCCAGCAGGCTGAGTTTAAAAAGGGCACGAGATACTGCTGGCAAACAGTCTGGCGCTAAGCAAACCTTTTTAGTCAGAATCACATGGATTAGACCCAGCTTGCCATTCACACGTGGGGTTACCTGTGAGCTCCTCCGAATTTCACCGTGGTCGAGCCGCTAGGCTAAGTACCAAGGCTGGCGAGAGAGCACCTGAAGCCCGTGACAGAGGTGCGGAGCACAGCTTGCTGGGGGTAGGTGTGCGCTGCCGGTGACACTAGGGGCACATCCAGTGCAGACTGCCGGAGCTGCTGTCCTTCAAGGAGAAGCTCTGTCTCTGCCAGACAGCAATCTGAGAGCTGGCTGCCTAGGAGACTGCCAGAGACACCTTGTCTTCAGCCAGAGGTGAAGCTTGATGCACAAAGTCCTTGGGCTACTCCGAACAGCACAGCTAGATAGTGCGGTTCGTCCCTGAGCGAGAAGCTTTTTGGCAGATGCTTCCTCTTCATCCTTTGCCCCCAGCCTCCCTCTTACCCGCTGTCTGTCCTGTCCCCCTTGCTGTTCATCTCCCTCCTGCAGTGAGGGAGTTTGGAGGACGGTTGGAGTAGCATCACGCTGCCTTTTTATGGTAAATATGCTACAAGGGAGCTCTGCAGGAGAGGTGGCTTCTCAGAGCAGCAGCGAGCCCGTCGGACTGGGCAAGACTTAAATCTCCTTGGCTTATGGTGCCCACTGGGGGGGGTGGGTAGGAGGTGAAAGGCTGGGTTGAGGGGCTAGTTATTCTCTCGGCTGCACCCGGAAAGATCTCTGAGCAGCTCCTTTCTTAGCACTTACTGTCAGTCTGGGTGCCGAGGGCTCGTGCTTACCAGAAATCCATTGGCTGTAACTGAGGCCAAATGGCTCTGATGCTCTGACGGTGAGAGGTGCAGGCTCAGCACTAATGGTAGGAAAAGAAGCAAACCAAAAAAAGCAAACGCTCTGCCAGCCCATCAGTGGGTACAGTGCTGAAGTCCGACTTGCATGGCTGCCAGCGTCTTGCTCTTTGCTCAGATCTGCGAGACCACACCATTTCTGGAGCACTGCCGTGGGTCTGAGGCAGCTCATCCCAAGTAAGCCTTGCTCAAAATATACCTTGCAAGGTGCTGGGGTAGGTGAGGGTGTGTTCTTACAGCGTCAGCTAATACATGTCCAGGGAGTATTTTAGTCCCTGACACATGAGCCCTGCCTAGAATGGAAGGCCTGATTCACTCATGGTATCTCACTGGAGGCCAGCACCTTTCAGGATTGTTCCAAATCCCTGTCCAAATGAGGAGACAAGGGCAATGAGGCACACGAGGCTCCGAGCATGGCATTGCTGGTGGTGGCAGCTTGTACCTCTGATCTCCGACAGCTCTCCTGGGGCCTGGAACAGCAGCGGCTGGCAGGGGACGTTGGTGGTGTAGTCCTTGAGTTCCTGAAGTGCTGCTGACAGGTCTGCCGCTTGAAGCGGTAGTCTGAGGGGAAGGGAAACCCAGGTCAAACAAGCTTAAGGGGCCTTTTACTGCCTGTTTTGACTTGGAGGCATTTTGTTGCTGTTCTCTGTCAGGGTGCCCCTGCCCTTCTCAGCTTAGCTGAGACTTGGCATCTCAGGAGAGAGACTCTTTTTGGTTTCCCAGGAGGAACAACATGTCTGGCAATGTGTGCAGAGCCCTGCTGTGAGACGGTGACCGCCTCCCACCTCCAGATGCCTTTTCCAGAAAGCCATTTAGAGCCCCAGGCTGTTGCTTGGATAACTCCCTTCCCTGATTCATTAGCAGCGTGCAGTCTCTCCTGTAATATCCCAAATCTGCCTGAGCTAAAGGCTGAGCGGGAGAGGCCATATCTTTTAATAGCCATGTGATGCAGTTGGAAAAAACTTCTGGACATGCAGTTCTCTGGTGGCCTGACTTAATGGAAACACTCCAAGGGAGAGAGAGATGGAGCTGGGCCCCGAGGGAGAGGGTGCTGTGGGGCGAGGGGGGGGGCAACTGCTTGTGGTTTCTGATCTGCCTTTCCCCCAGCCGCACCCTAGCTCCCCCGAGCCCACCTGGAGAAGGCGGCAGACCTGGAGATCGGTCCCACCACGCGGCGGGTCTCGTCCCGTAGGTCCCGTGCGCGGCGCGGTGTGAATAACTGCTGGTGGCTGGCTTGCAGCCGGTGGACGTGGGTCCACCTTGGAGATGAGGCTCTTGCCGTGTGGGCACGGGGAGCCTGCTTTCCCGGTGACGCTGGTGGCCGTGCTGTGGCAGATCCCACTGGGCAGCGCTGCTGTGTGTGGCAGGCACGTGCCTGGCTCTCCCCACTCAGTGTTAGCTCTGCTGAAGGTGCCTTTGCTTTTCCAGCTCTTTGCTATTGAAACTACTCGGTCTTGCTGCTGGCAGCTTCTGCTTCCTATCCCAGGTGGGTGCCAGGGGCTTGGCTCTTACCTGCTTGTTGTGGTTTAAGCCCAGCCGGCAACTAAGCACCAAGCAGCTGCTTGCTCACTCCCCCCCCCCCCGCCATGGGATGGGGAGGAGAATTGGAAAAAAAGTAAAACTCGTGGGTTGAGATAGGAACAGTTTAATAATTGAAATAAAATTATTATTATTAAAACTGTAATGAAAAGGAAGATAACAAAAAGAGAAATAAAACCCAAGAAAAACAAGTGATGCACAACGCAATTGCTCACCACTCGCTGACTGATACCCAGACAGTCCCTGAGCAGCAATCGGCCCATCCCGGCCAAGTCTCCCAGTTTATATACTGAGCAAGATGTTCTATGGTATGGAATATCCCTTTGGCTAGTTCGGGTCAGCTGTCCTGGCCATGCTCCCTCCCAGCTTCTTGTGCACCTGCATGCTGGCAGAGCCTGGGAAACTGAAAAATCCTTGACTTAGGATAAGCACTACTTAGCAACAACTAAAACATCAGCGTGTTATCAACATTATTCTCATACTAATTCCAAAATACAGCACTGTACCAGCTACTAGGAAGAAAATTAACTCTGTCCCAGCCAAAACCAGGACACTGTTGAACTGCTCCCTGGAAATGCAGGGCTCTAGTAGCACCAGAGGGAGGGTTGTGACTGCAGAAGGAATGTGTGCCAGGCGGATTTGGCAGCTTAGTTCATATCCTGTTCCCCCTGCTCCAGAAGTATCCGTCTTCGAGGTTCCCCCCTTAGACTTATTCTGTCTGAGGTGCAAGCTGACAGTTCAGGACCCTCGTTGGGATGATGTTGCCTCCCGTGTTTCATATTGTGCTGTGCCAGGCTGGCCTGGGGTTTGCTGTGGCTAGAGGGGTGTAACGGGGCTGGTGCCCAGCACACTGCACACTTACTTCTCTGTTTGGGGATCTAAAACGGGTGGGACAGACCAGAAAGATGGTTTTGGTAGGTTTTACCTGCTTTGAAGGTCCTGTTCCACCGGCATCTCGGAGCAATGATGTGTGGATAGAGGGGCTTTAAATCAGAACTCCCAATTCCTCTCTGATACCTTTGCCCCGACTTATTGGCATGGCTCTGTGCATCTGGTTTGGACTTTCTCCTGATAAGGAGGGGCTAATCCCTGTAGCCTCCTGGGAGAAGGGCTCATCCGTTCCAGCCTGCAATTGTGGGGTTGTGGGTTCCCAACTCCATGGGAGCTGGAGGAAAAGAGTGCGCTGGCAAGATCCCAGCAGAGGAGGAGGCTGCTCCACTCTCTGCAATGCAAGTTGCGTGTTGGTTTTTGCCTGACTTCTATCTCCTCTGCCTCTATCCCTTCTGTCTCCCTGTTGTGCATCTATCTGGATAGACTCTTTTGGAGTCCCCTCCTGGGACTGCCCAGGGTATGTCGCAGAGGCTCAGGTTACTGGACTTGATAATTAATCCCTTCATTGCCTCACAAGCTAAACGCTTGCTGCTGCTATCATGTTTGGGAGGGGGCCAGGGAACTTGCATCCCTCCCCTAGCTCCTCGTCCTGCTGAAGAGTCGGTCTTAGGACTCACGTGTGTTGCGATGGAGCACGGCGGCTGTGGCTTTGCCAGCACTTCTGGGGACACGTGTACAGTCCTACTTGCGTGGGTGGGGAACGTGCTACAGGACAGTGCAGCCATCTGGGACTAGGAACATGCGTGCAGATATTCTCCCATGGGCTGTCTGGGTGACACCGAGTTGTCCTTTGTAACAGACTGGAGGAGAGGGACAGGACCTAGGTGGTGGGTGCTGCTGATCCATGACACTCTTGGCTGTGCAGGGTCCTGTCCCCAGAGCTCTCTTACGCAGTAGCTCTTGACATGACTGTCTGTTGGGTTTCAGGTGACGGCAAGCTCCAAAACCCTCACGTACAGCTGAGATGTGTTATCTGCCCTTCAAGTTGAGAATCCCTGGTTAAAGGGTGGTCCTCGCCACCACCACCAGGCCCTGCCACCTTCTCCAGTTGTTCCCAGGTACCCCTGCAACATTGGCAGCCTGCGAAAGTTAGTTATCTTGCTTGTTAAGGAGACGGTTTACACGTGCTCGTTCCCTTCCTGTCTTGGTGCTTCTGTACCCAAATTGGTAAACTGGGGATAATTGCATGGCAGAAGGTCTTGGCTCTGTGGGTTTCCTCTCTACTGGGCATGGGGGTATTTGGGACCTGTGGGGACATTCTGGCGACGACACTGGCACTTGTAAGCCCCCGTGGCCCACTTCTCTGGAGGGAAAGACCAGATTCCCCGCATGAATCCTTGGAACAAAGTGTGGTCCCATCTCCATGGCTGTTTCAGTTGAACTCCCCTTGGATGTGCGTGTCTGGATCCGTCTCCTCAAACACTACTACGGTCTATTGCTTGTTTGTAGCATAGTGGGCAGTCGGTGACTGGGACCTGGACTGAGGAGCTGGAACAGGCTCCCCGGGCCAGGGGAAACGGGAAGACCCTCTTCTGAAGGCTGGGAGCTTGTGCTGGCGTTGTTCTGCCCTAGCAGCTTCTTTTCCCTCTGTCCCTTACACCAAGTGTTTCTGTGGGGCCACTGTTCTCAGTGGCCACCTCTCTCTCCTCTACCCCTCATTAGTGCAGGGCTTGGCATGCCAGCAGGAGGGAGCCTCGGCGTGTCTGCGCCTTGATCGGATTTGTCAAGGCTCCTTCCCTTTTCTTCCTGTTCATTGAGGGCTGAAACAAAGCAAACAGAAGAGAGGAATTCCAAAGAATAGGAGCGAGGGAAGAAAGAGAGGCTGGAGTGACAGGCTGCCCCTGCACACACGCACCCCCCTACACCCCACCACCCCCCGCCTCGGTCTGGTGGGGCAGAGCTGGAGGCAGAAGCGTTTTGGGAGGCGAGACCCTTCCCTGGCACTCCTGTTCCCAGCTCAGCCACCTTGCCCCCCGTGCTGTGGGGCCGTGACGTGCTGCAGCCCCGAGAGCTCCCGTCCCCAACGCTCGGGTAATTCCCCCGGCGAGGCTGTCCCCGCTGCGTGCCGAAGTTCCAGGAACGAGGAAGCCATTATTTGAACTGCTGTGTTTGTTGTGGGCTGCGGTAAAAGGTTTCCCTCTTAACCTGTGCCAGGAAAGTTTCCCCTTCCAAAGGAGCCCGGCGCGGAGCTGAACGTCCTGCCTGGGTGCCAGGGCAGCAAGGCACTGGCCGGTCCCCAGCCTGGAGCCAGATAAGAGCTTGAACAAGGCCCTTCTGTGCAGACAGGTCTGTGGAGACAAACACAGTCCGGAGCTTGTGTTGTTTCCCAGGAGGCAGGGGACTCTGGAGGGAGTCGTGGCCGGCCAGGCGAGGCTGATGGAGCCCCTCGCTCCCTCCTCTGCCATCCCCAAGCCATCGCGTGGGTTCCCCTTCATCCTGCCCTCAGCCCCGCTGCGGACTGGATCAGGGGAGGCAACAGGGTGCTCAGCAGCCCCGGCATAAAGCACTTGAGGTGAAATACATCCCTACCAGTGACCGCTGCCTTGCATTTAAGCCCCAAGGAACAGCCTTTAAGCCACAGCCTCTGTTTCCTTTCCTTCTTCCTCCTTGTTCTCCGCCTTCTGGCAATCTCTGCACTCTGTGGTTTAATTAGAGAGCGGAGTAAAGTGCTTAGACTCCAAAATGTGCAGATTAGGGGGTTGCTAATCCTCTTCCTCAACGGGTACTCACATCCTGCCCAGTCTGTTATCGAGCTTCTGTCCCCGGCATGGAAACTCAGCCAAACTCGAGACCTCTACCTCTCCTCTTGCTTACTGCGCAGAGGAAGGGCGAGGGGTGACAAGGAAGGCTGTGGGGGAGGCGGGAAGGGAGCGGTGGGCTTCCGAAATTCTCAAGGTGGGTTTGTAGTCCGCGCTGGCTGTCTTTGCTTCTTGTGCCCTGGCTGGTTTTGGTGCTCCAGGAGCAATAAAGCAAGGATTCGGTGTTGTGGTTTGGGTTTTTTTGAGTGCCGTCTTCCTGTTCTGACAAAAAAAAAACTTTGTCAGAGGAAGCAACTGCTTCCCTGTATGTGCGCGTGCATGTGTGTTCACGTGTCGGGTGATTCAGCTCAGGTCTTGTGCTTTCCCTGCGCGTACACACCTCTCCCCGTGTTCCCAACTGCCTCTCCCGCGCTTAATTCCCAGCGTATGCCCAAGTGAGCCGTGCTGCAGCACTGCCGACAGCGCGGGGCTCCCCGCTGAGAGCGGGAGGCTGGTGCCTGGCAGTGCTGCGGGAGGCTGGTCGTATCCTCATCTGTGGAGGCTGAGAACCCTTTACAGGACATATGCTGTCAGTGTGAAGGGGAAGGCGGAGTATTTGCTGTTCCAGATGGAGGCACCAGCAGGGAAGAGGGAGTAGGGAGGGTGAGCGTAGTGGGAAGGATATGGCTCTTCCTGGGGGTAGAAGGGGAACGTGACCCTGATGGTCACAGGATGGGCTGAGCTCTTCTGCCTCTGTCCCACTCCTGGGGCGGGCTGGGCACTGCACAGAGGTTGCTGTGGATTACAGAAGACATGAGCTTTTGTCCTGAGCCACTCATCTGCTGCTTGGTTGATTTGAGCTATGCTGTTTCTTCCCTGCCTTTGTCCTTCGGTGTGTGAGCTCAGGGTTTAGCTCAGCAGTGTGAGAAGCCCTAGGGATGGGAACACAAGGAGCAGCGGGAGGGGAGGAGTGCTGGGAATGGTCAGTAAGGAGTTTGGGTGTTGAGAGCATTCTCTTTTCCACCGGCTGGCTTTGGGAACCACCTCATCTCTGGGATCCACTTCCCCTCCCTTTTTGCCCCCATCAGTCGCTACCTCATTTCCAGTTTGCAGAGTGCCCCACATGCGCTTTCACAGGTAAGTTTGCAGTCTTTTAGCCCAGCCAGCAGCTCTTCCTCCACAGTGTTGTCAGAGCCTATTTGCAATGTGCAAGCCTCTCTGTAGCTCAGGTACCACTTCAGGTCTTACAAAATGCCCAGGGCACCCTGAGTGGATGGCACTGTTGCTGCTTGGGTTTTTTAGAGCCTGCCCTGAGCCATCCTGGTTTGCTATTTATAGTTCAGTTGTTCCATTCCTCTGTGGACGAGCTCTGCTTTCAGTCTTGCTTGGGCACTGAGGGCACCAGTGCCAGGAATAGCTCTGGGCGAGGAAGACGTGGGAGCGGCTGCTTGAGCACAGCTCCCAGTTTGGGCCAGTCCCTGGTGGAAGAGGCACCAGGCTGCATCTGTGAGCTCGGGCTCTTGGTGAGCGTCAGCTGCTTTTCACGCAGGGGAAGTGAAGGGATTGCCTTTCCTTGTCAGATGCCCTGCGTGCGTGCCTGGCTCCTCCGTGCTGCCGAGGCTGCCGGAGTAGAGTTCGGCACTGTGAGAGATGCCGCCTGGAAGAGTTGCTCCAGTGCCAGGTACTGGCGGGACTAGTGAGGGATCTTGTTGTGATGTGCTTGCACCGTGGAGGGCAGTTTGCACGGGAAGCCCTTGCACGTCCTTCAAGCAGTGGCTGTGACCTCTTGGTTGTGTATCCTGAACTGCTGCCCACCAGAGTGGGTGGATGCCTTTTTCGGTGGGGCACCTGCCATCGCTTGCACAGGGTCCTGCTTTCCTTCCCCCAGGATTGCTTGCTGGCCTTGAGGGAGCTCAAGCTGAGGTCTGAAGGGAGCCTGCAGCGCAGAAAACACCAAAACCCTCCTTAGCGCTGCTGCTTAGGCAGAGCTGCTCCGGCCCTTGGGCTCACGATGCTCGCAGCTTGTCTGGAGAGCGGAGCTGAACAAATAATTAATTGCCTGATTTAGTGCCCAAAATGAAAAGCTGGAGGAAAAAACCCAACACAGCCGAGTTTGAGAGACCCTTTATCTTTTCTTTTAAATGTAATGCAGCTCAATTGCAAACAAAACAATGCAAAAGGAGACTTTTTGCTTGGAAAACAAAGTATTTTGTTCTCGTCGAAAACTTGTCGTGAAGTAGCAAAAAGCTCTGAGCTCTCTGGAAACTGCAGTTTTCAATCAATAACTATTCAGCCAAAAACACTTACCCAGCTCTGCCGGTGACAATGCACGGCAGGCACCTGAGGGCCTGGCTCACGGCCATGCCCCTGGCACCTTCCCAGAGGTGGTGGGAAGGATGGTGTCATGCCTCTTGTGGACTTTTCCAGGCAGAGTGCCTGTCTGGGGTTGTTGGAGTCCCTTTGCCTCCTTTTTTTTGTTGTAATTAACCTAATTAATTTTGCATGAGGTGATGGAGACTCTACAAGCATGTGTAGGGGTTAGGTCTGGTCAGATGCGCTGGGATGTGGTCCCCCTCGTCCCGCCAGGACACCGCTCCTGGTGCAGGTTGTTCAAGAGCGTTTCGAGGGAGCAGGGAGATTTCTTTTTTTTGGCGGGGAGGAAATCTCCTGTCATTCCCTACCGGTGGGCACTGCTAGCTGGAAACTTAAGCCGTCAGTAGCTCACAGGGTGAAATTCCCACTCCTTTGCTTTATGGGGCGTGACGCCTGCCGGGTGCTCCAGCTGCACTGATGGCAGAGCTGGAGCTGGCAGAGGGCTTGCTGCAGGCTGCCTTGGATAGCAGCGGGAGCTCCCGGCTGCTGACCCTGCTCAGCTCTGACCCCAGTAACTGGTGTCTGCTACGAGCCCGCTGCAGTGGAAGCATCAGGAAACGGCAGGGGTGAACAGGTATTGATGCCCGGAGCACGTCCGGAGACCGGGACACGGTGAACCTAATGGATTCAGAGCTGGCCATTAGCTGCAGCGCAGGCGTCAGCAAAAATGCAGATATTAGAAACCTAATCCCGGCAGAGGGAAGGGAGCTGGAGATCAGCCCAAATGCTGCTCCTCTTCTGTTTCAAGAGGCAGGCGGGGTCCTCCTGCCCCTTGTAGTGCTCCTGCACGGTGCCCAGGCTCGGTCCCTCCTGTGCCTAGCTGTGCTGGCCTGGGGGGCACGTGGAAGAGATTTGATCCAGGACTCTGCAGCCTCTGTGTTAGTGTCAGAGCAGCTGTCCTGAGTCAGGCTTATGCTCCAGCAGGCCCAGAAAAAGGCCAGTCAGTGTTGATACTTCACCTGCCGAGCATCCTCCTG